TACTTGTGATAGGTTTTCCTTAAGTAGATGACCCAGCCTATATCTTTCTTGGAGCAAGTCATCCATTGCAGGCATATTAGATTGTTGATAGGGTCCTAACGCCAACTGAAGAGCCTTCATTCCATATAAGGCTTCAAATAGAGACATTCGGATGGCAGTATGATAGGTGGTATTGTACCACCATTCATCTAAGGCCAACCACTTTCCCACAGCTTAGGGTGGTGGTAAACTAAACATTGTAGGTACATTTCCAAGCATTGGTTGACCCTTTCCGTTTGTCCGTCTGTTTGAGGATGGTAGGGAAAGCTGAAGTGAAGCTTAGTGCTTAGGAGATGGAAGAGTTCCAGCCAGAATTTGCTGGTGAAAACCTTATCCCTATCAGAAATTATGCTTTGGGGTATCCTATGTAACTTGTAGATATTTTTCTAGGAAAAGTTGAACCATTGTCGAAGCTGAAAAAGGGTGAGTCATAGCCAGAAAATGCCCATATTTCGTGAACATATCAACCACTACTAGAATGGTATTCTTTCCTCCTTAGTTGGGCAATCCTTCAATAAAGTCCATGCTGATATGGCTCCATAAGTGTAGGGGTTGGGGTAAGGGTTGTAGCAGCCCTGGGTAGGAAACATGTTCTCCCTTGTACCTCTAGCATACTTCACATTGCAGTATCAATTGCCTGATCTCCTGATTCATTTTCGACCAGTAAAAGAACTACTTTGCTCTATAGAGGCTATTATGAATACCGGAATGGCCTCCTTCTGGTAATCCATGTAGGTTCTGAATTAACCTGGATCCGATGTCTCCTCCAGTCCCAATATATATCTTTCCCTTGTGTTTCAGTAACCCATTTTCATAGCTGAAGTCAGTGTCAGAGTTGGGGGCTATCATTAGTGACTGGATTTTCTCTTCTGCTTCAGTATCCCCCTTATAACTCCCAATAACTTCCTCAATCCAAGTAGGGGTAACCACTGAAATTCCCGAGCATTCAGGATTGCTCTCATGTCTCCTTGAGAGTGCATCTGCCACCACATTATCCACCCCCCTTTTGTAGATAATTTCATAACTGAGGCCAAGCAGTTTGGTGAGCCATTTTTGCTGGAGTGGGGTTGTAATTCTTTTTTCAAGCAAGTATTTGAGGGCTTGGTGGCCAGTCTTCACCACAAAATGGTGGCCCTCTAAGTATTATCTCCATTTACAAACTGTAGTCACTAGGGCTAACAACTCCTTCTCATAAATAGATAGTCCCAGGTTCCTTATTCCAAAGGCTTTGCTCAAGTAAGACAATGGTCATCTCCCTTGCATTAACACTGCACCTATGCCACCTTGACAAACATCAGTTTCTATTATAAAGGGCTGGCTGAAATCAGGTAAAGGCAGCATTGGGGTAGAGCTAATTGCCTCTTTTAATGCAACAAAGGCTAAATCAGCTGCTTCCGTCCAATGAAAATTCTCCTTCTTCAATAGATTAGTGAGAGGTTTGGCTATAATCTCATAGCCTCTAACAAACTTCCTGTAATAGCCTGTGAGTCCTAGAAATCCTCTTAATTACTTGATGTTAGTTGGCATAGGCCACTGGCTCATTGCCTCAACCTTGATAGGATCTACTGACACTCCGTGGTTGTTGATTATATAGCCCAAATACTCCACGTGTCTGTCTAAAGATGCACTTAGACCTCTTGGCATATAATTGGTGTTTTTGTAGAATCTCTAGCACTGATCTAAGATGGTGGTAGTGGGAAGCTATGTCTTGACTATAAACCAGAATGTCATAAAAAAATACCAACACATAGTCCCTCAACTGATCCTTAAACACTTCATTCAAGAGACTCTAAAAAGTGGCGGGGCATTGGTGAGGCCAAAGGGCATTACCTTGAATTCGTATAGACCTTGGTGAGTGTTGAAAGCAGTTTTATGGGTGTCAGCCTCGTAACTCTGATTTGGTGGTACCCTGCCCTGAGGTCGATTTTAGAATAGAATTTTGATCCATTCAGTTCATCCAAAAGTTCATCAATCAGAGGCATGGGGAATTTATCCTTGATAGTGAGGTTGTTTAGCTGCCTGTAATCCACGTAGAATCACCATGATCCATCCTTCTTCTTGACTAAGAGGATTGGAGATGCAAAGGGGTCATTGCTATGCTTGATTATGCCACTGTCTAGCATTTCTTTATTTAGCTTTTCAATTTCTGATTTCCGTATGAAGGGATATCTGTATGGTCTGATTTTGAAGGGTTGAACACCCTCCTTCAAAGGATATTGTGATCATGGGTTCGAGGGGGTGGTAACCCTTTTGGTTCCTCAAATACCCAAGAAAACTGATTGACAACTTCAATGACTTGGTTTGGAATTTCCTCTCCTTTCTTCTCAGTGATGGAATATAATTGTCCAACTACCCAATAGCGTTACCTTTTGAACAAACTTCATATTTCTTCCACTTCCATCATCATAACTTGAGGTTATGTGTTCTCACTCCTTAGTGTTATTTTCTTTTCCTGGTGTCTGAATTGGACGTATCCTTGCTTGAAGTCGAATAGGATATGCCCAAATTGACTCATCTAGTTAACATCTAACACCATATCACTGCCCCCAAGCTTTAAGGTCCCCATCTTATATTGGAACTCCCAATTGTGTACCTTCCAAATCAGTGGGCGAATCAAAGTTTTACTCTCCAATTTCTCACCATTTGCCGCCCTTACAGTCATGGTTTTAGATCTTTCTATAGGGTAACTCAACTCCTTAGCCAGCATCTCATCTGTGAAACTATGAGTGCTTCCACTATCTATGAGAATAGATATCCTCCTTCCTTTTAAAATTCCTGGTATTCTGATGGTTTTGTATCTTGGATTCCCAGCCAAGGCAATGATAGATATTTCCATGACCTCCTCCACATCTGTTTCATCCTCATTTCCCTCTCTACCCCCACCTTTGTCCTCTTCATCCACCAATATGAAGTTCAAGATTCTATTCTTATTCTTAGAAACATGCCCTGCGGTGTATTTCTCATCACACTTGTAACACAACCCCATGCTTCTCTTAGTTTGAAAGTCAGTAGGGGTGATAGGTTTATAGCTATTTAGCGGTTTACTCATTTTTTGCCATGGTTCTTTGGGTTTATTTTCTTTAGGTGGCTTTGGGGGATAAGGGTTCCATTTGTTAGGGGTGAAACTCTTAGGTTTTTGGTACTTGTTTATGGCTTGAATAGTTGATTCTTGTAGGCTAGCTACCTCAAATGCTTTGGCCAGGGTATTTGGTTTCATCATCTTCACCATAGATTTAATCTCCCCTCTCAATCCACTTGTAAACACAGCAATGTAATAAAATTCAAGAACATGTGGCAGGGCTAACATCACCTGTGATTAAGTTCTTCAAACTTCTCCTGGTATTCATCAATGGATCCCAGTTGTTTGGTCTTGCTGAAGATCTCTACCACTTCTTCTCCAATGGTTTCTGTAAATCTCCTACATTGTTCCTCAGAAAATAAGTTCCAACTGGCTTCCTGATGATTTGCTATGAATCCATCAAACCAGATATCAGCCTTCCCTTTCAGGTACATTTATGCTACTCCCACTCTAAGTTCCTCTGGAATTTGATGTAAAAGTACTTCATGGCCTTCCTTAGCCATTCCCTAGAGCCTTCTCCACTAAAATAAGGAAACTCAATTTTAGGTAACCTAGTACTCCCCTTCAACTCTCCTCTGGAATTCACATTAGTCTCCATGCTACTAGCTCCTGGTGTGTAGGTTTCACTCCCAAAATTCAAATCACCCATAGATTCATCCATTCCTTTGTTCTTCTTATTGATTCTCAAGTCAGTGGAAATTTGGGCTATGAATGGAACAATTTTCTCGTATTTTTTGTTCAAATCCATCACAACATCTTCTATTTTCTCTTGCCTACCTCCCATTGCTTGAAGGGTTTGATATGTAGATTCAAGCTTACTTTCTAATCTGCCATAACAACCTTAAAACTGGTACCCAAGTCTGCTACCTCGAGATCCAATTTCTTCAAATGCTCATAAATGGCTTTTGACCTTGTATCCATTTCCAACGATTACCTAGTAGTATACGTCTGCTCTGATACCAATTTATCACGACTAGGACCTCAATTCCAACTCCACACTTCAACTGTAATATTCTTGCAAAAATTTTCCAACTGAAGCCAGCTGAATTCACTAACAAATTCACAAAGAAAATAGAAATTTAGGTTGGGTTGGGTGGGGTGGGGATGACGAAAAAGAGAGAAGAGATGAGAGATAAAGTGAATTGCAAATTCAATCCACTACTAATAGCATTTCATGTAACGACCCGGGTCCCACTTAACGGGCTGTCCTGGCCGTTAGATCGACGACGTACTGTCCCCACTGTACCACACGGGTCTTTTCAGCATGCTTTGTCCTCACTCGCACGCTCCCCGAGAAAACTTCCCAGGGGGTCACCCATCATAGANCAATTATTACAACTTTAATTAAAACAAAACAACATTGTTTTGATTAGTGCCAAACGACGTCGTTCCAATTCAAATGTTAGTCAATTCTGTTTTTTCTTCCTCTTCTTCCTTTCCTTCTAGTTTTGTTGAGAGCTTCCTTCCTTTGCTTCTTCTACCTTTATTTCCTCAGGTGGTTCCTCCATAACAGATTATTGAAAAAATATTCTTTTTGTCATTTTGAAAAATTATTTTCAAAAATAAAAAAAATGAAATTTTGGGTTGGTTTTAATTGAAAACAGTCAAAACGATTTTTTTGGTATTTTCCTTTTTCTTTGTACATTTTAAACTCTTTTTGAAAATTCGATTCTGAAAATATGTAAATAAACATGTTTTCAGTATTTTCAAATATTGAAAACTGAAAATGACATGAAAACAGCAAAGAGAACATGTCATGAGTTTTTATAAAAATGGAGCCCAAACATGGGGATGAAAACTGTAATTTGTCCAAAAGTGAGAAATATATTCCATTGTAGCTGGGAGCAGCAATAAAATTATAGAAAACCAAAAAAAAAAAAAAATGAAGGTTGCTCCGAAAGTAATACTACTGTTCAACGACGCCGACGGCCTCGGCTCCGCCTTATACGGCGCTCTCCGGCCAAACTCTGGATCTAATCTCCAAATCCTGTAAGTGGTTTTCAAAATTACTCTTTTGAAACTTTGTATCTGAGTATTATGATTCATATTTATTTGTGATTAGTCTTCTGTTTCAGTAATAATTCTTTTGAGCTTTCATTGGAGCGCTATGGAGTCAAAGACCGCGAGGCGTCTGGCCAAATTCTGCACTTTGTAAATGCCAATGGCCTCTATGAGGTACTGCGAATCTAGTCCTTGTCTTCTTTTATCTGAAATTGCTTTATCTCTGAGGGTTTTCTGGTCAAATCAGCTCATGATTTATATATGAACGAAAGCTATGAGTTTCGTCCTAATTGAAGGGTTTGTGTGCTTCATCCTATGAAGTGACAGTTATAGGTATTGGAGTTCGATTATTATCAAGGAGGAAGATGACGTGACCCATAGAATGTGTTAAATGAACCGAAGTAAGCCCGTATTCGAGCCCCATTCTCAAAAAAACTTATTTTTCTCCAAACATATTTTCAACTACTTAAATCCAAAAATTTTCCCTAGTTTTTTTTAGCCTCAAAATCCCTTTGATTATATGGCCAACAATACGATGATTTGCACTTCAACTGTGTGTATATATATATATATATAGAGTGAGCTATATTACTTCAATTGATCCAATCCTTTGACAGAATTAATACCAAGTCCCCCAACGTAGGACCCTCAACCGTGTGCAAGCTACAAGTTTTTGGCGTCAACAAATAGTCCTCCACAAGTCTGGGTTGTATATTCATGTGAGGATCGGACTTAAGATATAAGTTGCGCAAGCTTGAATTTCTTCGAAGAAATGAGACCTTGTTGTATTACAAGATGTAATGTTGAGTGCTTGCAAACCAAACTTGACGATACAAGGCTCTATAGTTGAGCTTCTAACACTATGATTTCTAAAATTACGACAGCATTTCCCCTAAAATATGGATTACATCATCATAATACAATACAAAATCAAAATACAATATTATATCTCCACCACAATCGAATGAAATATGATATATCTCGACTATGCATACACAAATACTTGGGGCTATTAGCCCACTCAAATGCTCATTAATAATTGATCATATTTCCTTAAGATAAAATATGAAAAGTCTATCATTCACCATAGTAAATTGATATGTTTGCATAGTAGATGATTTATTTGCGCTATTCGAATTAATAGTCTCTTGTGCGAAGCTAGCGATACGATTGCAATGGGAATGCGCGTGTTGCAATGGTAATGGAATGGTACTGCATGCGTGCATTGCAATGGTAATGACATTGCCGTATTATTTTGTTGTTGAGCCATATTATTATTACTTTGTTGCTCCAATTGTATGCAAATAGTCCCCCAAGTCCGAGCCTAATATTTCATGTTAGGCATTAGACTTTGTAATACGCCGACATGCCTCGCAAGAGGGACATTTTAGTGAAGGGAGTGCTAACGATCATCTCGTGATTAGCTAAAACAATTATCCCGTGGTGATAAGAAACAATTGTTTTTTCTTTTTCCTTTCAGGGAGACAATGAATCTTTCTTTCCATTCCTTTCATGGAGACAAAGAATCTTTCTTTTCATTCTTTTCGTGAAGACAAAGAATCTCTCTCTTTTTCCATTCCTCTTGTGGAGATATGAATTTTACTTTTTTCCTATTCCTCTCATGAAGACGAGGAATTTTGGCGTTTTCCTCGTGGAGACAAGGAATAATGCTGTTAAGGCATCAGCCTGCCTTGTCATGGCGAGGTATGCGAGCTTGGCCGATAATCTGAGGGCTTCCGGTCCACCTCGTCATAGCGAGATATGTGAGCTTGGCTCGATAATGTGAGGGCTTCCAGCCTGCCTCATTGTAGCGATTGATGCGAGTTTGCCTTGACTGATATAGATTCTCATGAGCTAAGACCTTAAGCCATGATGTCGATAAGAAGGGGCTTTGTATAAGAGGTAGGTATTTTGTTGCGTCCTTTGTAAGATATTCCATAGTCACATTTTATCATCTTGCCTTCCATGATCACATGTTATCATCTTACCTTCCCCTAGTACTCGTGAAGTTATCCTTACTAGCAAATAGGTACTCTCAAAGTTATCCTTACTCGCGAAGTTACCTTCCATATCACATTTTATCATCTTACCTTCAGGAATATTTCAACATATTGAAGTTAATCAATTTCTAGTGAAATAATTTTAAAGGAAGTTACATTTACCTTCGATTAGAAGGGAGGGGCTGAGCAAATTTAGATTTGTATATCAATAGATAATGCCTTCCGCTTCCTTTCAGGTAGCCTGAGATACATGATAAAGCAAATGACCATATTATGCACTTTCTCCTGTTGGTTTTTTTTTGTTCTTTCAAAGGCTCCCAATCCAGTTTCTAACCCACAATAGTTCGCTGCAAATGCCTATTACTGCAATCTGAGATTTATCAAATCATAAAGCAAGGCAGCTGCGGGTTCATGAATTATTCTGCTAAATCTTGCTGGGAGGAAATTAGAATCGTGCAGATTCAAATATCAAATAACATCATCACATTCATATGGCGCATATTCATTAAACATTATGAAGGCACTGCTTGTTTTATATTCTTTTGGAAAGAACTGGAGGATATGGTACAATATTAGTATCTCTTTCATTTTCTGTAATCCTCGTTTCTCGGCTCTTATAGTCCCTTCGGTTTAGCTGAGATGGCAGCAGAGAAATGAATGAATTTATATGGATATATATATACACACACACACCCAGCAAAACTCAAAAATCGTAGTGCTGAATACTACTTGATAAATTTCAGTTGTCTGCGTTCCAGGTAATCAGTTTGCAGGGCATAACATAACTTAAATTCTCTGTGAACCTGGATGAGTTGATTAGGTGCTACCAGGACATATTTTGGACATTTTATAGTAGCCTGTATTAGCCTAACATAGTTCAACTGTAATAGGATAAGGAAAAGATATTACCCCTCTTTCCTGCATTGTTTCTGACCTCCATCACTGTATGTCAGATTAACGCGTGTTCATAGAATTAACTTCAAGTTCTGTTGATAAATTGCTGCCTTTGCAGCTTCGCTGGAAGCTATATAAACCTTTCCTGCAAAAAGCAATAAAAACAATTTCAGCAAAGACTGGCAAAATCACGTTTCGAGATTGGATTCTCCCTTTTTTTTTGTCTTTTTCTGCTCCAGCAGTTGTACCAGATAACCTACCCTGCCTTCAAGCACTTACTCCATATTGCTGGTGGCTGCCTAGCATCTTCGTTTTGAAGATAGTTCAGTGGTAGGCGTTCTGCAACCATCTGACCTCAACAACTAGCAGTAGGCGGAGGTGAGCTGCCTCTAAAAATATATTTGTTAGCCACAGTCTCAGCAAACTTTGCTCGAAGTCCAACTATAATCGAAACAGAGTTGCTGGTTGCCACTACAGTGGCATATCCTCAAACTTCAGAGCAAGAGGAAGGAACAGAGGCAGACCTGGCAAATCTAATGAAGGTCAGGGGCATCAAATAACGTGCCTTGCCTGAAGTGCATTGAAGCAGCCTCAACCATGATAAATAGAATTCAAAGAAAACATGTCAAGCTGAGCTTCAGCAAATCATGGCCAGAGGTGGAACTTTAGCTTGGGCATTTCATCAAACAGCTGGTATGTATGAATATAATCCCTAATTTTCACAGCACCTTGTACAGTAAAACCTTGAAAAGAATGTTTGATAAATTAATAATCTCGCTTAAATAATAAAATTCTTTGATCCCGAGTTGGGCTGGTGTACTAAATTAATAACATGGCTAAATGCATAAGATAATTTTTTTTTAGATCCTTTAAGGCTCAACGAATATATAAAATAATAACTGCTTAAATTCATAAAAATCCATACTAGTAAGAATTAATACACTTTTAATTTGACAACACTTTTTTCAATTGCCTCTTTTTCAAAATATGCATATAAAGTCTTTTACTTTTTCATTGCACTCAAATCAAACTCAACTTCGTCTCTAATTTTTTGCAATGCAGATATTACATTGGGCATTTTTTTTCATTTTGTACAAAGTAATTATTTAATGTTACAACTGTATAAATTATGTTCCATGTGTACATGAAATAACTTAAAAGATTAATCTTTCAAGATATTAAAATTTGAAGCTAATGCATGTATATCAATATTTCCTCTTTAATGTATGTGTTTATATGCCTTTTTGCGTGCTTCAAATTAAACGTTAAATTTCACTATTTTTTTCAAATTTTCTACATGCATTATGGTAAAATATAATACAAGTTGTAAAAATACAAAGTCTTCTATAAATTGATAAATATTAATTTATCGATAAATTAATAAATGATTCATTTATCAATAAATTAATAACCCCTCTAAAATAATAATTTTTCTCGATCCCAACATTATTATTTTATAGAGGTTTTACTGTAGATGTTCCAAACCAGAAAATCGAATCCATACTTGCTATTTACTGAAGTGGCTTTGCGCACCATACTGAAAGCTGCATGTGGTTCGCACATGCCTGAAGTGGCTTTGCACACACCTGCAGATACCTCGATGACCTTTATCGGAGGCTTCTGATGTCATGACCCACATTGGAAGCCAGACCTCGCATGCTAATTCCTTGGCAGAAACCTCACCTACAATTATCTCCCCACAAGCTTCACGAAGTCCAAAAATTGAAGCTAGAATTTGCTTCCGTTCGTGTTTGAGGTTCGAACCTAAGGGCTCGCCAGAGTTGGGAATGGGAGGCCACCACAAGAGGTTGTCCTCACAGCTACATCGTCGACCTGCACCAGAGGTCGCAACTGATGTTAATAGAGCCTGACATAGCCAATAATGAAGCTCAATTGCTTCGCCGAAGATGGCAGTGAACTTCAAAAGCTGCAACGCTTATCGTGCGAACCTCGCAAGAGCTTAGGACAACTTCGCCATCCGCTGTTGAGAACTAATAATGCCTCGTCTCACCTTCAGCGCGTAGCAATTGTCATGAGTCGCTCGAAGCAGATTTCAACATATTTCAATTATAATGAGTAGCGAAGCTAGACATAAATTCAAGATTGAAATTAGAAATAGCATTTCCCCCTTCGTTGCTACCAAAATTGATCGTGAAGTTAGAGAGTTCTCTGCTAATTTCTTCACTCTCGCCATCACTAAATGAAATGATGGACTTCGAATTTGTTCGAGTCTAATTGAAGTGTGATACGGCTCACTGATGAGCAAAGGAATGAAATCACCAAGCAAAATCTGAGAATTTGTGGCGATAATTTAGCGAAAAGGTAGCCAGCGGCAAAGAATGAAACCATAACGGAAGTAGATCCAGCCATTTCCCTCTTTTTCTTTTCTAACACAGAATCAGCGATGAATGAAATCATATTCTTCGAGAATTTTTAGATCTCGACTCATATTTTTCAGATCTTGAATCATATTTTCAGGAATTTTTCGATAGGTTTCATCGCGGTTAACCGTTTCATTTCCCATTGACGGCCCCAATTTGTTAGTCTCAAAATCCCTTGATCATGTGGCCAACAGCACTCTGGCCGTATCCTCTTCAACTTAGATTCAACCACACATTGAACATCTCGTTAGGAAGCAAATGTCACCGACTTGAGAAAAAAGTCTGACAACCGTTTGTACTCCAACGATCAAGTCACTGTCAGAATAATATATATGTATATATATATATATGTATATATATGTATATATATATATGTATATATAT